AAACGAATTTCACATGGTCAACGCAGATTTTTTTCTCTGTCATTTGAACGGAACCAAACTTTCATTTCATAATAAACAAAAGACAGTAAACAAGACTCTCTAGTTATAAAACCAGTAATAAGTGATAAGGGGAGTAGAACCTCCCTCGACATCGTGGTTCATAAYTGTATGCTCTATTCCTCAAATTGAATCAATTGGGAGGTAGTCAACATAGACTTGTGCAYAAAGTCTAGGTGTATGTTTCAAATTATAATACGATTTCCTTTCGTTTTCAAGGTTTTAAACTTATAAACTATGTAAAACCCKTGTTTCTAATTTATAATTGTTCTTTATAAACGTTTGCAAGTTGATTTCATTTTCCTGAATAAACGTACTATTTGCCAAACAAAACTTTCTTCCAATCAATTTGGAATGACCATGATAAAATACAATCCATGCAACACATTTGCAAAGTATCTTGAATTTGGTTATCCAGGAAAAATTCTATGTAATTACATGTTGATAATGAAATATACAAGACATTAAAGGATTCTCAAGCTACTCGGGATTTATTTCAGATAGAGTTAAACATAGACTGGTCTGATTAAAGATTAGTCAACWTGGTGTGAAAAAAGCATGGACTGGTCCACATTTGACAAGGTAAAGACCGAATCCAGATTGAAGCTCTCATCTTATTTTGGGACTCGTTGATCCACAAAAGCCCGTCTGTTGAAAACAAAGGAAAAAAGAGAGAATTTTACATATCTAAAACAAATTTATTAAAACTACAAATTGGATCAAACTGTGCTTTATTTGGTAAAAAAGAGCGTTTATTTATCTAGTATGACTAAAAAAATGGTCTTAAAAAGGAAGGCCAATTCGACTTGAGCCAAACAGATAACATCATAGACCGGGTATTTAGCTGGAAATGCCATCTCTAATTCCAAGTAGTAACACAATGTCCTCCATGATTCTAATAAACCTTCAAGTTTCAACAGTCTTATACTATCTTGCAACAYGTTCAGACGATACCCATTAAAACTTATATGTATTTCTTGACATAAACAAGTCATGTGTCATTTTTAAAGATGAAATAATGTTTAAACGTATTAAATGCAATGTAATTATTTTCGAATACCACATCGATCGTCATATTTATGCATGTGTAGGCCATTTAAATGATATAAATGCAATTTAATAAACATCATTTAAATGCAATTTAATAAACAGAAAGCCACCATAAAGTTGGTACACATCTATTTCTATTTTTTTCATTCATTTTTTCTTGATTTATGTTGTTATTTTAATAAGGGGCATAAAATAGCAACATACTTTCATAAATTTTTTTATTATAACATTATATTTTTGTTTTTTTTCTTTATTACAGCAATGTACTTTCAAATTATTTTTTATTAAGATATTGTACTTTAAAAAATCTACCCATTATAACAATGAGTAATCTGTTACCTATTAAACCGGTTAACCCCTTTAACTTTTTTTTACTTGTGTGCCTTTAATGAGGTGATGTGGATGACACATCATTTTGATGACTTAATTAAAATAAAAACCTATTTCAAATTATTATTAGTGATTTTCATTTTCTATTGCTATGATTTAAAAAACATTTAATTTTTTTGACTTTTTCTTATTAAGTTGCATGCAAATTAAATATTATAGAGTAAAATATTTCTTAAATAAATATGCTACATTATTTTTTAGATATATTTTGTTTGTAAAAAAGGTAACACTTCTTATTTTATATTGTTAAAAAATACATATATTTTAAAGTTCTCTCTAAAATGTTAACGAAATAAATTGTGTTCTACAATTTTTTAATATTGTTATATTAATAAATAATTCAAAAAAATCTAATTTATTTAATGTATTTATACGTCAAGTAAAAGTTTTTGAACAAATATAATATATTCTTTAAAAG